AGAGTGTTAGTAGTTCGTCGATAGAGAGTAGTGAAAAGTTTTTTTAGTTATAAAGTTTGCGAATGGACCACACTTACCACGCAACAGGAGAGAATGAACCCGAACCGTCATCTGCGAGGAAAAGAAGACGCAACTTCACTCCTTGTGATGCACTCTCTGCGGCGCTTTTCCTCCTGATGATATATCTCCCCAGCGATGGTAGCACCGAATCCCATTCTGTGCATTCAGCCTCTCTTCTCGCCCGCTCAGCATCAAACACATGGAGTTCCTCATCTGTATGCTCCGGCTCAAACAGGTATGGCTCTGGGTCTGTGTCCGCTACAAGAAACTCTTCAAAATCGTGTTCAAAGTCGTCCATTGCAGCTACTATAGTCCGGAGATATTGCTAGGCTAAATAAACAGCTGAGCTCTGTTTACCGGCTACGCTGTCAGTCAGTGTGCAGGCTGGAGATTGGTGGAGCAGAGAGGAGAGGGGGTCCCCACTCGGTATGGTAAACGAGTATGTGTGTATGAAGTGTGTCTGTTACGCTAGAAGAGTCAGAGTTCGGGACGGAGTCTTTTACCCCCTGGAGTGTTACCGGAGTTTCTGGAGTGCTCAAATAAACTGGCCTTTTTCCCGAACACTCCTCTGGTCTCCTGCTCGTGAGGGATTCATTACAATAACGTAACATGGTTTAGATTTCTAAATAAATATTGAGCGAGTGAGCCCTGCAATCTAGAATTTGACCACTGATGTCACTGTTTTCAACCCATTTTACACACTGGCCCTTTAAGTTGAAGTCAAAGGTTTCAACGTTCGGTTCTTTCAGGTAAAGATGTGAATGTTCTGTCCTTGAGGTGTGTAAATGTTCTGTGAACACCAGGTTCCGTCATCTAAATGTGTGAGTGTTTTGTTCCCTCATTTAAAGTTGTGAACGTTTGGTTCTTTAGAGGTGTGCAGGATCTGTCTTTCGGTCTTTCAGAGGTATCAACAATCAGTTGAAGATGTCACGTTCGGTTCCTCCAGAGGTGTGAATGTCAGGTTCCTTCAGTTGAAGGTGTGAAGTGAAATATAAGAGTTTAATATATCTTCATTATTTACATTGCTCGGTTACATATTGGACAGAGGAATGCTGGGTAACGTGTTAGAGGACAGAAGAATGCTGGGTAACATGTTAGAGATGTGTCAAGAGGACAGAAGAATGCTGGGTAATGTGTCAGAGGACAGAGGAATGTTGGGTAATGTGTCAGAGGACAGAAGAATGTTGGGTAATGTGTCAGAGGACAGAGGAATGTTGGGTAATGTGTCAGAGGACAGAGGAATGCTGGGTAACGTGTCAGAGGACAGAGGGGATAGAAGAATGCTGGGTAATGTGTCACAGTGTGGTACAGATTAAACAGCCAATAAGCTGCAAGAACCATGTGACCTGCAGGTCATGTGATCAGATGTATACACTCACTGGAGACCAGCTCAGTTTAACTGGTCCTGCTGAACTGTACTGGTCTTCAGCAGGGGAGTCAGTCAGTTAAACTGGTCTGATTTATTTTTCTTCAGATGTGTAACCCTAACGAAGAAGAAGTTTGGATCTGATCTAAACTGATCCAGGATCAGTCTGTGGACTCTTCAGCAGAGTTTACACACCGCTGAAGTCTGATGGTTATCACTGTGTGTTTCTGATGTGAAGGTGTGTTTATGTTTCCAGAGAAACCAGTTTACTCAGTCCAGGGGAGACCAGTTCAACATGGACGCCCAGCAAGGAGCTCCAGGACTCTCTGGTGGACATGTACAGAGGTAAAATACTTATACTACTACTGATACTGAAACACGTGTACAGAGGACAGAATACTACTACTAGTAGTAGCTACTACCACTGCTACTGATAGACATGTACAGAAGTAGAAAAATTACTACTCCCACTACTGCTGCCACAGAAAACATCTTCATCCTTCAGTCTCTTTTATTTAAAGTATCAGTGACATGTGACCTGATATTTAAAGCTACCTGCAGACTGACTAAAGAAAATGTCACACCTGTATATCTCGTGTTTCTGACTCGTTAAACCTGTTTTAGAGAAACATCACATCACAGCATTAGAGATGTGCTGAAAACAGGTAGTTTGAGGATGAGGAGGCAGATGACATCACTGAACGAAGTGAATGATACAGACGGGCTGTGATATGATCCCAGGTTTGTGTTTAAAGCCTAAAGCTTAAATTTCATGGACAAACATCGCTGCAGGAAGTGTTTCCTCCATCTGTCAGCTGTTCAAGAAGAAAGTGAGCAGGTGTAGTATGTCAGATTATCCACCAGGTGGAGCTGTGGTCCTTGACAGAGCTAAACAGCAACACTAAGCTCAACAGAGAGGAGGTCAGAGGTCACAGCACACACAACTGCTGCAGGAACACTACTACTACTGCTCCAACAAATAATAATAATAATAATAATTATGATGATAATGTTTGTAGAATAAGTATCTGTCCAACAGCAATCCCGAAATGTCTTCATGTGTTTTCGTGCTTAAATACCAAACAAGAGGCATTCATCAGTCTTACTACAGGTGAATATATAATCTGAAAACTACAAATTACAGTACAGATAGGACAAAAAAAATAAACAGATACATCATCATAACACACATAATTATTGATAGTCAATAAATAATCAAATGTGATTGGCTGAGGGCTGTTGAAGAAAAATAAAGGTTGAATTTAATCACAGTTTTTCTTTTTCATAAGTTTTTAATGACAAAAAATCCATGATTTGAAATCGAATGAGCCGAGGAGTAACCACTTATTTTAGTTTAAGGTGTGATCACACGGTCCTTCAGTTAAAGGTGTAACGGGTTGGTCCTTCAAAGGTGGGAATAATTCAGTTAAAGAAGATGTTAAGATTCTGTTCCTTCAGTTAAAGGTGCGAACGATCAGTCCTTAAGATTTCGGAATGTTCGGTTAATTCAGTTTAATGTATGATTGTTCTGTTCCTTCAGTTGAAGTGTGAATGTTCTGTGTCTTTAGTTAAAGGTGTGAGCGTTCTTTTCCTTCAGGTAAATGTGAGAAATTCGGTTATTCAGATGTGGGAATGTTTCGTTCCTTCAGTTTATGGTGTGAATGTTCTGTTTCTTTAGTTAAAGGTGTGAACGTTTGGTTCCTTCATCTAAAGGTTTTAATGTTCATTTCTTTCGGTCAAAGGAGTGAATGCTCAGTTCCTTCAGGTAAACATGTGAATGTTCTGTTTCTCCATTTGTAGGTGTGAAAGTTAGGCCCTGTTTGGACGACAGCTCTAAAAATGGAAAAGTCTGTCCTTTGCGTTTTAAAAGCTTCCGCATTTATATGACAACGTCATTGAAACGATCTCCGTTCACACGGCGCCGCAAAATCTACTGGAAACGCTGTAGTATGCACGCCAGGCCAATGGGTGGCAGTGTAAATTTGCAAAGCAACATCACGGTATGACGCCATGCGCTGAAGCACCTTCCTCTACAACGCGGTGATTACAAACCAAAACAAAGAAGACACAATGACGAAAGCACGCACGGATAACTTTGTCTGGATGGACGACGAGGTGGAGTTGCTACAGTGGATCTACACTTTGCTGGAGAAGCATTGATAAATTCAACAGGGTGAGCGGCACAAACAGAGCTCGGCATTGTTGTTCTGTTGGTCGACTTTCTCGCGCATGCCTAGTGACTGGAACCGTAATGCGCACGTGCGAAAAGTCTCAGTTTTCAGAGGAACTGCATATTGCAAGTTTACATGACAACGGAGATGCAGCCGTTTCCAAAAAATTGCACTCTGGAACCCGTTTTCAAAATGTTGTGTTTTCAGGCACCCAAAATGCTGCTGTCGTGTAAACGATCGGCCGAAACGCAACTAAAGTTTACTGTTTTAAGTTGACATCGTTATTGTGTAAACGGGACCTTAGGTTCCTTGATTTGAAGCTGCGAACACTGGGTTTCTCAGTTAAAGATGTGAACGTCGAGGTTCTCTTCAATCATTGGTATGAATGTCAGGTTTCTTCAGTTATAATTGTGAATGTCAGGTTTCTAGAGTTTCTTCAGTTAAAAGTGTCAACATCAGGTTCCTCCACTTAAAGGTGTGAACTTTGGGTTCCTTCACTTTAAGTGTGAACGTCAGGTTCCTTTATTTAAGCTATGAACATCAGGTGTCTTCAGTTAACCCTATGGGCCCGAGCGACACATATCACGTGAAACAGCGGAACTGTAGCTTTCCGACAAGACCAGGCACTTGTTAGTAGTCCAGTGTTTTCACAGCAAAAAACAATGATAAAGTTACACTAAAATTATGAATAACAGAGCTTTCATGCAGCTCTGCACACACATTACTCTTGGATGGATTACTTGCGAATGCAGGCTCGCACAGAAATGCCACGCATATTACATGAAAGTGCAGGAGCAGAGCTTTCCAGTGATACCACACACATCATTGTGCTGTCATCCCATCATGCTATAAATCCAGATTTATTGTCTACAAAATAAAAACCTGACGAACTTCTTTACAATCCATTATACAGATCTTGTTATCAGTCACTTCATATAGTGAGGAATATCGTGTCTTACCACGTCTTAAGCTTGCGTGTGTTTCTCCCTGTCTATCCACATTTGTAGTCCGGCTTTCAAGATGCAGATATCTCCATATTGTCCAGTTGACACTCCATCAAACTTTGTATGACAAGACCAGCCACTTCACCTTTGTGCACCCAGACAACTGCAGCCTAATTATGCATGCATGACAGGGCCGTAGTCACCATATACATTGAGGGGGACACGCGGATTTGTTTTTTTCATTCATATAAAAATGAATATAAAATGCAGGCACATACAAGGACATGGATATAAAAATAAGATATAGCATGTGCACGTAGCCTTTATAATGACTGTGATATGAGCTCAAAAGTAAAGGCAGGAAAAATACCCCCAAAAAGGCCTAGGGCCCATAGGGGTAAAGGTGTGAACATCAGGTTCCTTTATTTAAGATATGAACATCAGGTGTCTTCGGTTAAAGGTGTGAACATCAGGTTCCTTTATTTAAGATATGAACATCAGGTGTCTTCGGTTAAAGGTGTGAACGTTGGGTTTCTCCAGCTGAAGGTGTGAACGTCTCTCCGTCCTCCTCGGTAATCTGATGCTGATCAGATCCTCATGAACATGGCAGAGTGTAATCTCCTGTGTAAACCCGTCTGGAGGACGTCAGTATATTTAGAGTTGGTCTTTTCCTTCCTCATTAAACAGGCTGGATGTTAACACAGAGGATGAAACCTGCTGGAGATCAATGACACCCATGATTATTAGTTACTACGGCAACAATGACTTAACCCTCCCTCTCCACAGCTGTTCATGTTTTAAAGTCATCCACCTGGAGTATGAGCTTGTTTATATCTCACTGGCCGTTACATGAGTTGATTGAGCTTCAACTTGGTTGTTTTATTTTGTAGGAGCCTCTGTGACATCACACATGGTGAGGGGATTGATTGAGGGTTATGAAGTGTTGATCTGAGCTCAAGACTCTCATCTGACTCTGTAGTTTGTTCTTTGAGGATTTAACGTAGCGACAGTCTGGAGCACCTGGACACCTGAGAGTGTCATGTGTTGTTGTTGGTTCTGTTGTCTAACTCCTGATCTTAAAACGAGATTGGTTTGGGGCCAGATAACACTGCATTTTACTTTGTGTGTGGGATTTTGTGTCTCACTAAGCGAGGTCATTTTGTGTCTGTTGTGTTAAACTTTAGGTGACTCTGATAGTTCTGGTCCCAGACTGGTCCTGAGGCAGAACACTGGTTGAACTGGTTTGGGAACAAAGTGTCAGGACCAGCTGAGTGCGGCGACATCTGTCCTTGCTCTGTCCTTGTCCTTTGTCTTTTAACCAGATTAAATATTTTAGTCATTGGACGAAAGAAATCCGAGTTAATGTTAGCAGCAGCTCGACTCACAGTCCCCCGGATCCCCATTTCAACTTAAGAGTGAACAACTTAATTCAGTGTTTTTATCAGTTTAAATCACTTGGTGTTTTGAAGAGGAAGAAACCTCTGCGGATAATTGCGTACCTCCTGAACAATGAACACTGAAGGAATTCTACCCTAAAAACAAGCAGAGCCTCTAGAGACAACTTGAGCTAATATTAGCAGCAGCTCAGCCAGCAGCTCCTCCTGGTGTCTGGCTGCTGAAGAACGTCACAGAAATATAGACTTTTAACTTCAAGTTAGGGTTGCAGCAGTTTTTACAATAACTGTCTCAGAAAATATCACAGAATTATTATGAGTTACAGTGACCCTTAAAGAAATGGAAACAGAAGAGCTTTTATTTAGTTGAGCAGTCGTTTAATTACTATAATTGAAACGTGTAAAAAGTCTCCTCTTTGAAAATGAATAAAATTAAGGTGAGGGTCTCCGCCCAGTTGCATCCAATACTGTTGATCAGCAAATGTACACAGTATGATAACCATTAATTTTTATACCATGCTATACCTTGAAACCGGTATATCGCTACAACCCTACTTGAAACTCCTTTACACAGTGTTTTAAGCTGTTTGGGTCCATTTGCTAACCTATTCCAGGGCAGGTTAACTTATGAGGTTGGGATCACAGCCCGTCAACACCCTGACCAATCAGCTCACTGGAAAAATGTTAAAGATTCTGTATTTTTGTAGGTCAGTGTAAGCATTTTATTGTTGCAGGCTTTCTATTTCCAGTCTGGTTTTAGAATAGAGCTTCTAACAAATGGAGATTGTTTACAACTCCAAACACATGATGATGATTTTAGCTGCATTTTATTATTT